GCCTCTCCTAGATCCGCCGCTGTAAACTTGCCATCAACAAATCAGTAGAACACTGGTCTTGAAATGCTTGTTTGTCGGTTACGTCGAGGCCATCGTTGTTCCCGATGAATTGTGGGTCGTTGTGTACCCTGTCTTTAAGGATACGTGACATTCTTTTTGGCGCCAGGTTTTGGACACCAAAGCCGTCTTACTCTTTTGATTTTCTACCATCTTTTACATTGATACTAATTTTAGTTTTTACATATATGTTTGAGAAAACCACAGCGGCAATGGCGACGAAACTTAACGTTGCTTAACAAAATGTTTAATAAGTAGAACCGAATAATTTTGCTGTTGCAAAATACGTCTTGGTAAGTTTCCCATTCTTAAAAAAGTATACTATGTGAAATAATTAAATTTCGCTTAAAGTGAGAACGTGACCCATATACTTGAAACGAAACTTCGTCACGTTTCTCACCAAACAAACGAACGAGGAAATAAACGAACAAGGATCTAATGAATGCGTTGTTTAAAAGCCTGAATTTTGGAACAATATGGATGCCATTTCAATTTTTCCTCGTTGTCACGTTGAGTTTTATGGCCGCTCTTCATTTCTTTATTGTTTCTCATTTCTCTGTAGTACTTTCGNCGACGAAACTTAACGTTGCTTAACAAAATGTTTAATAAGTAGAACCGAATAATTTTGCTGTTGCAAAATACGTCTTGGTAAGTTTCCCATTCTTAAAAAAGTATACTATGTGAAATAATTGAATTTCGCTTAAAGTGAGAACGTGACCCATATACTTGAAACAAAACTTCTTCACGTTTCTCACCAAACAAACGAACGAGGAAATAAACGAACAAGGATTTAATGAATGCGTTGTTTAAAAGCCTGAGTTTTGGAACAATATCGATGCCATTTCAATTTTTCCGCGTTGTCACGTTGAGTTTTATGGCCGCTCTTCATTTCTTTATTGTTTCTCATTTCTCTGTAGTACTTTCGACATCACCAATGCGATTTTACATCTACAGTACCACGCTAAGTGCAATAAAGCCAAACAAAAAGCACGCTGATTAGCTTTCGTGCATAGCGAGAATTGAACACTTACGAAAACTTCACGTCAGCAATATGTGTTAAATGCTATAACATTTGATTAAAAGCT